ATGGAAATATCAGTTTGCTCTTTCCTTCTTAGCCTACACTTGTTTCACTGAGCTCTTTAAGCTTTCTAGCCGTGTGAGAGGAATTTGTTAAGATGTTACTTGCTTTTGCTTTCTTTCTGGGTGTTGTCATGTTCATGTATGCAGTTTAAAAAAAATAAGCTGTGTAGAAGAAATCATATAGAGCAGGGGTGAGCAACTCCAGGCCTCGAGAGCCGGTGTCCTGCAGGTTTTAGATGTGTCCTTAGTCCATCACAGCTGATTTAAATGGCTAAATTAGCTCCTCAACATGTCCTGAAGTTCTCCAGAGGCCTGGTAACGAACTAATGATTTGATTCAGGTGTGTTGACCCAGGGTGAGATCTAAAACCTGCAGGATGCAGTGTAGTGTAAAATAATACCTATGGAGTTCCCCTAGTTACACTTTTTGTAAACAAAGGTAAACAAGTGACTTCTTGCATGTGACTCATTCCCACAAATAGTTTGTCATTCTTCAAGTGAAAACCACCAGGTGCAACATGCAAGCTCAACAATTCACACCTTGGATAAAGATAAGTGAAGGTCACAGGATGGAGACTTTAACATGTATGAACGTGGATATGATAAGATCATAGAAATACATTTGTGTGGGTCAGTCAGCTTGTGTAAATGAGTGTAAACAACACTGGATCAAAAACATTCTGCTCTCTGATGTTTTTGAGGAAATAAATGAAACTAATTTCGCAGACATTGTTCGTGATCTGCTGAACTTGAACTGGATCTCCTGAGCGGTTAGCCCTCTCACCTCACAGCAAGAGGGCTGTGGGTTTGAACCTGTGGGTTGGCCCTTTCCTCAGTTTGTGAAGTTACCATGTGACCCGTGCCTGTGTGTGTACACCGATCTTCTCCAGACGCATGCATTAAGTTAACTGACAATTCTAAATTAGCCATAGTTGTGAATGTGAGTGTGGATGGTTGTCTGGCTCTGTATGTTAGCCCTGCAGCTGGAGACCAGATGTCCCTCTTTAAGTATGTCCCACATTTTGACTGGCTATGGCTGTGTCCAATGATATGTACAGTGAAAGTCACAAGATACCAAAAAGGCACAGAGTCAAAGTT